ACGTATTTCAATTTCAACGCTGTCTCTCAGCCTGACCCTAACCCTAACCCTAGCCCTATCCCTGCCCGAACCCTAAGTCATCCTCAAGTAAGGCATTTTCCTCCAAATCCATGACCCTTAAGATAAGAAGAGCCCTAACCCTAACAATCGTATGCACACTTCAAACGTCTGGTACATGAATTGGAACCCTTAGCCTAAACATGCTCTTAACCCCAACCCAAACCCTAACCCTAAGCCACAAGTCCAAATCACAATACCCAGGTGCTTGACATTTGACATCATCCCTCCCAGTCCCCACGAACTTATGCTACTACTAACTTTCCAACCCACACTGGAAGGCACAGGCATTTCAATTTGAATGCTATCTCTCAACCTCACCCTAACCCTAACCCTAGTCCTAGCCCTACCCGAACCCTAAATCATCCTCAGGTAGGGCTATTTCTGCAAAATCCATGACCGTTAAGATATGAAGAGCCCTAACTCTAACAAACATACCCACACTCCAAACTTCAAGTACATGAATTGGAACCCTAAAGCTAAACCTACTCCTAACCCTAACCCTAACCCTAAGCCACAGGACCAAATCCCAATACCCAGGTGCTTCATATTTGACATTATACCTCCCCCTCCCCACGAACTGACGCTAATACTAACTTTCCAACCCACACTGGAAGGCACAGGCATTCCAGTTTCAATGCTATCTCTCACCCTGACCATAACCCTAACGCTAGCCCCAACCCTGACCGAACCCTAAGCCATCCTCAAGTACCGCTATTTCTGCACTATCCATGACCCTTACGAAAAGAAGAACCCTAACCCTAACAATCATACCCACACTCCAAACGTCAGGTACATGAATTGGAACCCTAAACCTAAACCTACTCCTAACCCTAACCCTAACCCTGAGCCGCAGGACCAAATCACAATACCCAGGTTCTTGACATTTGACATTATCCCTCCCCCTCCCCACGAACTTACGCTACTACTAACTTTCCAACCCACACTGGAAGACACAGGCATTTCAATTTCAATGCTATCTATCACCCTGACCCTAACCCTAACCCTAGTCCTAACCCTACCCGAACCCTAAGTCATCCTCAGGTACCGCTATTTCTGCACTCTCCATGACCCTTATGAAAAGAATAACCTCCTATCATGAGTGTGCTCCTTCTATCATGATAGCAGGCATAACAGGGAGAAGAAAATAAAGAACCGAAAGTGAAGCAAGCAACAATGTGAAGCAATTAAGGGCAGTGTTACTGCACTGTTCATTATCTTGTGTTGAGCTGTGGTCCTATGAATAATTTCATAGTAATTGTGTAAAATTTATATCTCATGTTGTCACTCTGGCTTAAAATCCTGTAAGGCCTGTATTTTTGGTTTATTTAGTAAATTCTGTGATGAATTCAAGAGTTCACCTAGCAAGGCATAAATTTTATGAAGTTTACCATGTATTAGTCCCTGGCGATACATGGGAGGATGAGTAGGAGCTCTCTAAAGGAAGTTGGGCGGAAGGAAGAGAAAATTACAGTTGAGGACCAAAACTCATGAAATAGCATGTAATAATGTGGGATGTTCATAAGATCTTTATGGCTGAAGCAAAATATGCCTGAGTGGGAATTTGGGAGCTTCTCCAAGAAAAATAAGCAATGGTGTATATCAAGTGTTCTATATTTAAAAACATGACCTTCAAGTAAAAATAAACCATTAATTTTAAGCAGTATCTTACTTTACTACTGGGGCAAAATACTCAACATTTACATCTTGGTTCATGGTTACAGTCCCTGTTCCACTGGCTCCAAGGCAGGAAGGGCAGGGTGGAAGGGTCTGGTGGAGGAAACTGAGAAAAGAAAAGCCAGGGAAGATATAACCTTCCAGGTCACTAGCCCAGTAATCTGCCTCTACCTGCCCCACCTCTTAACAGCACATTGAGCTCTGAACTTATGATCTTATCATCTTCTACCTCAAACATGAGCCCTTTGGGGACTTTGTAGCTCTAAACCAAAACAAGCAGTAAAACATTGATTAGATAAGTGATTTAAAATAATTCTAGAAATAGTGGGAAGGATAGAGATAAGTAAATATGGGCGGGGATTTAGCTCAGTGGTTTCACTGCCTGCTGCTCAAGTGCAAGGACCCGAGTTCCATCCCCACCGTACAAAATAAATAAATAAATAAAAAATAAAAGAGATAAGTAAAGATGAGAAACAGAAAACTCAGTTGGTAATCTAAGCAGTTTGGAAGCAGGAGGAATCTAGGGCTCTGGCTATCGAAATAGAAGATAGACTGAGGAGATCCTAAGTACAATATGCAGTACGTGTTGACTGGGGGAGGTAATAAATGAGAGGGAGTTTTAGCTGGGGAATTGGATCAATGGTAGTACCACTTCCTGAGTTAAGGAACACAGACTTTATTGAAGTCTATTGAAAAAAAGTTTTGGACATGTTGAATTTTGAGGTGACTATGGGATATCCAAGTGCCAATATCCACTAGGACACTGAATGTTCTAGAGTTTAGGAGATTTTCGGTACACATGTAGAAGTAAGAAATCTTGGAATAGCAAGCAAAATGTGTAGCTAGAAAAGAGAATGTGATCGGCAGAAGTGCTTGGAAGGTAAAACAAACAGGTACTAACAACAGGCCAAACTAGTGGGTGGACTCTGAAGCATAACATAAAGACCTCCTGGGGCAGTACAGTAGATCTAAGTAGTAAACCCTCTTTTTAGAACTGCAAAGTGGCTATATGCAGCCAATTAAAAGGAAGTGCTTGGGAAACTAGGATAACAAATTTAGACAAGCTCAATAACATGACTCAGTTATGAGGACATGGATAATTTAAAGAGGAATCTCCATTTCTTCAACTATAAAGTTGAGAGGTTTTAGATTAGGTGTTTCTAGATTCTTTCCAGTTCTAACATCCTGGTCCTCTGAGCTAACAATGAAGAATGGGTGGGTTTTGGAATTATATGAACAGTGACTCCTTCTGGGAACTGTCCACCCACATGGTTCCCACAGAAGTTGAGATCTCTGCCTACAATTGATTTCTTTAGGGGTGGGGAGCTGACCTAGCTGAGCCAATAAGAACCCTTCCCCAGGAATTTGAGCTGGGAAGTGAGAAAAAGCTTTTCTCTGGTGATGGCTGTCTGTAACTGATTTGCATTGAGCTGTTATTTAAAAAATAAAAGAATGAAGACAAAGCATTGACAGAGAGAGGGACAGAGACAGACAGGCAGACAGACAATATCCAGATTTTCCAAAGTGCTTCAGGACCTGGTCCCAATCCACTGTTAGTATGTATTGCATCTCCTGAACTCAATGAATTACATCAAGGTCCTTCTAATAATACCTTCCCCACTCTTGTGAGACTCAATGTACCCCCAATTAATTTTTATTTGAAATCTAACAAGTACTAATATACTGAATTTAATCAGGGCCCATATGAGAAAGAGAAAAGTAAATGGGAGATGAAACTATAAGGTGGGACTAGATATAATGGAGAGTTCTAAGCTGTAGTTATGGGGAGAGCGAGCTGAGGGGAGATTAACACTTGTAGAATCATTAAACTTGGCATACACCTGTAATCCCAGCTACTTGGGAGGCTGAGGCAGGATTTTAAGTTTGAGGCCAGGCTGAGCAATTTAGTGAGACCATGTCTCAAAAGGGCAGGGATATAACTAAGTAGTAGAGCGCTTGCCTAATGTGCATGAGGCCCTGGGTCCAACCCAGAAAAAGAAGTTGTAAGATTGAAAAAGTAAACACAAAATCACTGTGGTCCTGACCTTGGTGCTGTTTTCCTAAGATATGTTAACTAATACTTTAAGTCATATCCCTCATCTGTCTCTATGTGTTAACCTAATTACAATCATCCTATAAAATACTATCTCTGTATTATCAGTAATATACCGTGGTAAACTCTCCCACTAAGTCCCTGCCTCAATTGTGAGTTCTCCATTCCAACTATAGAGGTTGCAGTGAATGTTATGTTCATCAAGGTAAGTGGATCAGTCTCCCCTTCATCAGACAGTCCCAGCCCCAAGTCAGGGAGTGAAGCAACTGTTTGGGAAAGTGTCTCTTTCTCCAGCTGAGACTTGTTGGGCTCAGCTATTCTTCAAGAAAATATGAATTCTTTTCTGGCTCCTGGGATGACAGGTGCTGCTGTTTTTGGAAAACGCAGCTCACCTAGTACTTCTAAACTGTAGTGCTGTGATAAGATGGTTTCTGACGGCTGACAGGGCTATTTGCCCAAGATGCTTCAACTCCTATAATTCGATTGTCTTGCTGGTGGAAATATAAATTAGTCCAAACAAATGCACATACATATTACTACAGAAATTCCAGTTCTGGGAATTTACCCAACATCTACACTTACATGTGTTTGAAATGAATTAACTGCAATATAGTATTTTAAAAGTTTAGAATAACCCAAGTCAATCCATAGTGAACTAGATAAAAAAACATTGATCCAGTGAATTAGATAAAAGAAATTCATTCCATGGAATGTGATGCAGCTATAAAAAAGAATAGGCACTGAATGTACTGAAGTGGAATGATGTGCATGATACACTGATAAAATTGATGTGCAGATGTTTGTACAGGAGGCTATTCCTATTTAAAGGAAACTGAATATTTGTATTATTTTGGATGTAAATAAAAGAATCTGTAAGGGTACATGAAAGAAAGTTATAAAAAATGGCTGTCTCTTAATAGAGGACTTTGGCTGTGGGAAATGAAGCTTTTTACTGTGTATAACTGTCCATACCTTCTGAACTTTATACTGTGCAGCTTTCTCCATTAGAAAAATAAAATTTTAATTTAAAAGGTAGGAGTGGCATGTTTTAAACAGTAGTTCCCAAATACTGGTCTGTAAATCAGTGAATGCCTAAGAGTATTTTATAACCCATCATGAAATCAGAAAAAAATTGTTGTGAATTTTTCATAATGCTGAATTTAATTTGAAGGAGCAGGATTTATTAAGTATTTTGTACAGAGGTGTCAGTAGACAGTTTATGAATGTAGTGTTTATTTACACAGTAGACAAAATTAAAAGTTGCCATCATATCAGTTTCTCAAACTTGTTTAAGTCCTGAAATTTTTTTTTTTTTTGTACTGGGTATTGAACTTGGGACCTTGAGCTTGCGAGGCAGGCAGCATAACCACTGAGCTAAATCCCTATCACTGAGTCCTGAAATTGTAAAGCTTTAGAATCACTGATCTAGAGTTGGCTTTTGTTCTCATATCAAGTATCATTTTTCACACATTATTGGGGGATGCATTCCTTCTGTGTATTTCATGGTGTCGGCTAAGTGATGAATTATAGCTGAAGGATTTTCCACATTCATTGCATTCATAAGGTTTTTCTCCAGTGTGATGTCTTTGATGTTTCTTAAAGGATGAATCATGCCTGTAAGCTTTTCCACAGCGGTTGCATTCATATGCTTTCACTCCTGTATGAACAGTTTTATGGTTGCTAAGGTGTATCCTCTGCCTAAAAGCTTTCCCACATTCCTTACATTTGTAGGGTCTCTCTCCAGTATGAATTCTTTGGTGGTGTGTTAGATATGCTCTATGACTAAAGGTTTTACAACAGGCAGTGCATGCATAGGGCTTCTCCCCAGTATGAATTCTTACATGTTCACTAAGGTGTCTAATCTGTCGGAAGGTTTTTCCACATTCACTGCAAGTAAAGGGTTTCTCTCCAGAATGAGTCCTCAAATGTTGGATCAAGCTAATGTTCTGACTGAAGGCTTTCTGACATTTATCACATACATAAGGTTTTTCCCCAGTGTGAGTTCTGTGATGCTGATTAAGTGATGACCGATGTCTGAAGGTTTTGCCACATTCCTCACATTCAAAGGGTTTCTCACCGGTATGGATTCTCTGGTGTGTGTTAAGAGATGCACTTTGACTAAAGGCCCTTCCACACTCCTTACATCTGAAAGGCTTCTCACCAGTATGAATTCTCGTATGTTCAGTAAGGTGAATGGGTTGTTTGAACATTTTTTCACATATATTACATTCATAGATTTTTGTTCTTATGCAACTCATTGGATGATTAATCAAGTCTAATTTGTATTTGTTCCTTTTTCTAGAGTTGTCACATTTATAGTGCTTCTGTTCTAAAATAATATTTGAACTCACAATATTTTCCCCAAATTTCTTAGCTTCTCGGCCTGTCTTTTTGTGGGCCAAAATGGTTTGTCTCACATCTGCCCGATAGGCTTCCTGGTGCCCTTCTAAAGCATCATCATACCTGGAGACTTTTCTCAGTGTGGAATAAATGACATCATTGCTTATGAACCTTTCCATCATAATGCCATGATACAACTGTTCCTGGGATATGCCATTTTTTGAGGATGACCTGCTGGTTTCTGTTTTACTCTTCAAGTCTGAAAGAAATTTAAAAAATGCAAGTAATTCATTCATTTTGCTTTACAAAAAAAATCAGTTCCTTACTGGTTATAGAATAGAGACATAGACAATTATATTTAAATAGTTATGCAGCCTAGAGAAGTAATGGGAAATGAAATCAACAAATAGGGAACATGTTAAATCTGAGTCTTTTAGTCCTGTTCTTTCTACTATTACTAAGTCATGAAATTTCAATGCTATGTTTTTAAAAATATTTTTTAATTGACTGCCACTTTTGGGAAACAATCTCAGAAAGATAAAATGTTCCTTTCCTCATTCCAGCAGCAGCAGAATAGACATTAATTCAAAAAATTGAGGTTAAACTAAGAACACTGACAAGAATAGTATGCTGTCCTTTCTTAAAACTTGTATTAGTGTGTATGCATGTAGTTCTGCTTTATGTAGTTACTAAAATATCCACGAAATCCTATTTATTCAAAGGAAACTTGAAAGAAATCCAAACTCTATTAAGACTGCTGCAAGGTTCAAGGAAAATATACTTTAACCTTTACAATTCTGACTGATTTTCTCATTTGATAATCTGTTGCACTATTACTAATATTTCAACCGACAGGTCTGTATTCATGAAAAATACAACTTCTTATAAGATCTTTTGGTCAACTCAGAAAGTTCTTTATCACTTTTGAATTCCAAATTCTAAATGATTAGAATTCCAAATTCTAAATGATAATGAAGTCTATGCTCTGTGGTCCCCTAATTCTAGTCATCAATAAGGAAAGAAGACGGGAAGACAACAGAGAAAGAGAAAGAAGACATTTGTGTACCCCTCCCTGGTTCAGTATCCAACCCTGAGGAGGCCCAAACTGAGGGAGGAGGAGAAAACAAGATTTAATTCTGAATAAAATTGGGGTTTTTTATTATTTCACTGAACTCAATAAATATTTTCCTAAAATCAAGACTGCTCTTGTTGTTTAAAGATAATGGACAATCTATAAGACCTCTTTGACATTTTATCCAGAGGTAGGGAAAGAACTTTTAAGGTAGTTATTATTATATTATTTTCTTTTTAGTTGTTTGTTTTGTGGTGCTGGGGCTCAAACCTAGGGCTTTGCACATGCTAGGCAGGTGCTCTACCACTGATCTACACCCTCAGCCCTTGTTATGTTCCTTATTATAAACTGTAGAAGAGAAAATACAAGATATATACAATCACTAGAATTTATAACACAATGAAACAAGGTGGCTGCCTATATAAGATCAATATTCAAAATCAATTATGTTATCATTACCAGCAACAAGAAGAAAACAATTTTCAAAAACTATACCATCTATCATAGCAAGAACATACAGGATTTTCAGGATGAATCTAGCAAAAGTTGTGAAATATGTACAACATCTTTATGGAAAAAATCCTGAAACTTTACTGAATAAAAATTAAATAATAATGAATAGAGAAATGTATCAAATTCCTTAATAGTAACATCATAACAATGTTAACTGATCTCAAAATTGATCTAGAAATTTGATTCTATTCCAACCAAACTGTTCGTAGAGCATTTGTGTTTGTGTGTGTGTAATTCATATGGAAAAGCAAGGGGCTAAGAATAGCTAGGACGAGGTTAAAGAAGGTGGGTGAACCACTTCTACTTGGTATAGTCTCCTTATGAAATATACTAATTAAGATAGCCTGCCATTAGATTAGGAATAAAAAAATAAATGAGTGAAATGGAATAGAGAGAGCCCAGGAATAGACCCAAGCATATAAAGAAATTTGACAGGTGGCAGAGCAGCATTAACTATTCAATAAATGGTTCCTGGGCAGATTATCCATGTGGAAAAGTTAAACTAGGTTTTTGCTTCATATTATATATAAAATAAATTCCAGGTGAATTAAATATGAAAAGCCAAACTTTAAAAATATAAGAATATACAGAGGAACACATATATGTTATCTATAGGCAAAATAGAGGATAGCAGAATGAAAGCACATAAGAAAAAACTGACAAATTCCATATGATTAAATTATTAAACTCTTATCTTTTAAAAGCCTCTACTTTTATCTGGGAGACTAAAGCAGGAGATCACAAGTTTAAGGCTAGCCTGGATACCTTAATAAGACTCTGTCTCAAAAATGACTGGAGATGTAGCTTAGTGGTAGAGTGCTTATTTCTCATGTGTGACCCCTCAGGTTCAATCCCCAGTAACACAAAAAAAAGAAAAAAAAAGGAAAGTGAAAGATGGACCACTGACTGACAAAATATTTGCAGAACAAAGCTATCAAGGATAAATATCCAGAATGAATATGTATCGACATACATAAAATATGTCTATACAAAAAAATTGGCGAAGTATATATAAAAAGATCATTTACAGATGAAGAATGCTAGATGGCTGATAAACATGAAAAATATGATGCTTCTCACTAGTAATCAAGAAAGTGAGAGAAATGATGTTATATTCATTCAATGAACTTATAAAACTTTTAAAGTTTGACAATATCAAGTGTTGACCAAAATGCTGAATCTCGGGAACTCTCCCTCTCATTTTTTTTTAAAATTTCAGTACTAGGGCCTAAATCGAGGACCTCACACATGCTAGGTAAGCACTTGAACACTGAGTTACATCCCCAGCCCTGTGTTCTAGGAACTCTCAAAACCTGCAAATGGGCATATAGACTGGTGAAATTGCTTTGAAGAGTAATTTGGTAATACCTAGGAGATGAAGGCACACATATTCCATAATTCTACAATTTTGCTTCTACTAACTCTCTTAGACACTTGCATATGTATATGAGCATATATGTACATGAAACTATAGGATCTTTGTAACCTCAAAATTTGGAAACAATGTGTTTATCACCAGAAAGATAAATAAAAAATAAATAGTGATTATTTTAATGGAAATTTATGAACCAGAACAGCATGGAGAAACACCAACAGTGTTGAATGTGAAAAGCAAGTCAAAGTATATATACCGTTTATTTAAAGAATAACAACATGTAAAAGAATGTTGTTGTTTAGGGTTTTATGTATGTAATGAAAGTATGAAGACAAATGAGAATAAAAACAAACTCAGAAGAGCGGTTATTTTGAAAGCTAGGAGAGGGACTTGTTAATTACAAAATCCCAGGACACATGCTCAGAACTGTTCCCAAAGCCCAACACATGGACTTCTGTGAAGAACTCCAGCAGGTATTCAAGAGAATAGCCTAGACCTGACAACAGCCTGAACAGTGGGTGATACAAAAAGGACAGTCCACAATGAGCTTTTGCCACTCTCCTCTCTTGCATGGTGGCCCACTCTCATGCTGTAGAGTGTACTTCTTTTCCGAATTTCACTTGACCCAAACTCACTCTACAGAGCTTGTTTCTTTTCCTACCTTCAATGAAATTTTGCTACTGTTAAAAAAATAAAGAAAGGTACAAGGGGAATTGTGGAGCTTCAACTGTTTTATTTCTTAATCTAGTTAAAAGCTAAGCAAAGATTTGCTGTAATGTTCTTTATACTGTTCTGAATGTCTAAAATGTTTCATAATAATAGCAAGGTTTAATTAAGGAGATTGCTAAAGACTACTGGATTTGGTGAAAAGGAATCCTGTGTTAATTTCCCTCGCAGGAGTTTTCATGAAGTAGGTATTACAAAATATTAAGATACATGAGTTAAAAAGATTGAAAATTGAAGCTGGGATTCTAAAATAAAAGGTGGCAAAAAGAAATAAGGCATAAAAGGGAAAATTAAAGATTTGTAGCATAAAATGATAGACTTGAAAAGAAATTGTTTATTTGTGGAGAGCTACATACATCTAACTGCTTAGCGAAAGGAGCTTTAATTCAGCAGACCTTAGGACACTGGAGAAAGAGGCAAAATCAAGTTCCACCTTAATGAGAATGAGACTTCTCTTAACTCCAACACCAGAGAGACTTTTCCAAGAGGGCTCACTGAGTAAAAAGGGTAACACAGGGAGGCGTAACGTAAGGTCTAGTGCAGGACCTCTCTGGTGGCCTGAGCCTTCCCCACAGTCTAGGAAGACCCTGAGCACTCTGGCCTACATACTAAAAGGTACCATATGCCTTGGTCTCACCTGTACTGGGATCTCCTAGGTCTTCTTTTTCTGTCATCCATGGCTCTTCTCCTTTTTCCAACTGTGAAATCACACTAGGCTTGGAAAAGTGATAGCCTGCTCATGGAGTCAGAGGAAAAAAAGGTGAATGTTTACATTGATGTCTAAGAAACACCTCCAGAATTTAGTTCCAGCTTCTGGTAGACACTCTGAGAGTAGAAAGGGGCATGTCCTTTTATTTTAGCTCTATAAACTAAAGTTGTTCCCCAAGGAAAGAGAATGAGATACCCTGGGTTGGTTTTCAAAGGAATAAGACATTTCTAATATAAGTAATTCACAACATAGATAATTTAGAAAAACTGACACTCCTGTAATATACAAGTGTCTGTATATATGGATGGCCTATCCTTACCCACTGACACCAGGTTCCTGTAATTCTCCAGCATCACCTCCCGATACAGATTCCGGTGAGCAGGGGCCAGCTGCCCCCACTCCTCCTGGTTGAAGTCCACAGATATGTCCTTGAAGTTCAAAAGTTTCTAGAATATCAAACACATTCCTTTGAGTCAGTCCACTGCAATCAAAGTTCAAAGAGTTCTGACAGTATTCTACATTCTGACCGATTTCAAACTAATTTTACCAGGTGCCTTGTATGGATCTATCTAGATTCTCTGGAAAAAGAGTATATTAAACATATAGGATAGATGGCTTAGAAAACATACAGAATAATGGGCTTAGAAAAAATTAAGTAGTATAAGGGGAATAGAGAGAGACCTAGTGAGGATCAGGATGGTCTCTTGTGTAGAGTGCTTGTGGAAGGTCACTCTAATAGGAGAATATTTAGCCAGAGACAAATTCAGTGAGGGATAGTCACGTGGAAAAGCATGCCAGGCAGATGCAAAGGACATCAGGTAAGAACATCCTTGGGTTGTGGAAGGAAAAGGAAAGTGAACAGTATGGGTGGAGGCAGGTCAGGGATAGGGAGACTAGAAGATGACATCAGAGCAGGATGAAAGCTGAGAGGTGGGACAACCTTTTGCTTTTATTGTTGCAAATATCTATGTGTTCCTGCTGAGCTTAAATTCTGGGGCCCAGCTGCAGTTTAAGATTTTTTTTTTCCAGTACTGGGGCTTGAACTCAGGACCTTGCATTTGGGAGGCAGGTGCGGCATCACTGAGCTACATTCCCGGCTACTGTTTTGGTAGTCTAACACCCTCCTAAATATTGAAAAGACAAAAAAAGATCAGCCTCTAAGTAGTGGTGGGACACACTGACATTTGGGCTAATGAGGAACAAATTCAAGGGCCAGGGATTTAGCTCAGTGGTTTCGCCACCTGCTGTGCAAGTGCAAAGACCTGAGGAACAAATTCAAATTAAGCTGCATCAGAGCCAGAGCTCAGCCACAGCCCCAGAAGGAATATGAATAATCTACCCTTCATCTTAACCACCAGACAGAGGGAATGGCTTAGCATCTCTTGGAAACAGAACAACAATAACAAAACTATACACACATATTATTAAAATTTAATGCTGTGATAAAACCATAAAACAAATCACAAAAGTATAGCTTAGAAGTCATTAGAGAACACAAAATACTAAAAACTAATTCAATCCAACTGAAGAGGAGGAACTAAACTAGAAGTTCCATTTGACCCAGCTTCTAAGTGTTTTTTTTTTTTTGATACCGGGGATCCAACTCAGGTCCTTGCACTTGTGCAGCAGGCGGCAAAACCACTGAGCTAAATCCCTGGCCCAGTATTTTTCTGAAAGAGTTAAAGACATCATATTATAGAGACACATGCATACCAATGTTAATAACAGCACAATTCATAATAGCTAAATCTGGAAGCAGCCCATATTTCTCTCAACCAGATGAATGAATAAAGAAAATGTGGTATTTACACACAATGGAGTACTGCTCTGCCATAAAGAAAGATAAACTTAAGTCATCTGTAGGAAAATGGATGCACCTGGAGGTCATAATGTTAAGTAAAATAAATCAGACACACAAGTTTAAATATCACATTGTTCTCTTATATGAGAAACCCAGAGTAAAAATAAAGAGCGGAATAAAAGATAGTTAATAGAAGGACACAGATCATTCTCAAAGGGGAAGGGGATCATAAGATGAAGGGAGCGGGAGGACGGAAAGGGATAAGGGATAAAAAAAAAAAATGGAATTAGGACCTCTGGGAAGATGGTGGAGCAGTAAACAGCAACAAATCAACCTCTCTGAGATTTGGAATCCAGACACTGGAAAATAATAACTTAGGAAGAAAAGGAGGGAGGTGGATCCCCAGGACCCAGGAAGGATCTGAAGGGAAAATTATAGCCCACAGTGAAAGTGAAGAGATAGACCACAATGCAGAAAAAGGAGGTGGCAAATTATACTTTCTCCCTGGCTCCTGGCACACGGCATGAGAGAGGAGGATTAAATTTACAAAGACAGAGTGAGGACAGGTGACTCCAGAGGTTTCCAGTGTGCTATAACAGCTGGTGAGTGACTCCTGTCCAAGTGTGTGCCTTGTTTCCTGGAGAGGGGACAAATGACTTGGCCAAATGCTATTTTAGGGAGGGGCCAACTGAGCCCCAGACTTGGAGCAGCCATGGATTTGCTTCATCACAGGGACCCCAGTGTTGAAATCCCACAATGACTGGATGAGGAACAACTGTGGGAGACATCCAGGGTTAGGGAGCCAAGGTCAGGTTGGCAATTGACACCCAGAGTGTTGTAGGCTGAACAACTCAGACCCCAACTGCACAACCAGAAGCCAGGATCAGCCTGAACTTCTGTGGAGTTGAAAGCAACAGAATCAGTACCCTGCCCTAATCCTACTGCAGGCTTGCTAGGATGATCCAGCATGGATCTAGGGTCTGTCTGCTTCCTTTGTCTTACCAGTGGCAGCAGAGACACTCCCTGAATTGGCCACTACCACAAAATTGTAGACCCCAGAAGATAACTGCGGGGTTGAAATTACAGAGAAATCTTTTTTTTTACTTTGCTTTTAGGGGGTTTTTTTCCTTGATTTTTTTGTTTTTTCATGAGTATAAAAATTTGTTTTAGTTTTTTTGTTTTGTTCTTTTGTTTTTTCTTTCTTTCTTTCCCTTTTGTCTTCTTCACCAGTCTCCTGAAGCTTGGGTAATCTTCCATTGTTCTTCAGCCTTGCTTCTAATCTCTTTCCCTTCTTTTATTATTCTATTTTTCTTCTTAGCCCTTTTAAATTTTCTCCCAGGGGCACAATTGCTCTACTGAGGGGATATTTACAGTGTATAATTTTCTGGTTTTTTATTTTATTATAGAACTATAAATCTTGTACCTATGCTTAAAGGTGGCAAATTAATAGTTATCACAGTTTGTCATTTTCTAGACTGACTGTACTACGTTAGCCAAGGTGACATTGTTTTTTTGATCAGTTGTTCTTCCATGCCAATACTGAGGTTGTCTGGGGGTGATACATAATAGCATAGTCCAGTACCAAAAAACTGGGTGCAAGGCCAAACAGCCAGCAAGCTCACGTACCTAATAAATTGAAGAGGCAGGAAGGATCTTGGGACTGACTCAAAACCCAAAAGCCAGCTAAGCCTAGAACATATCTCTGAAAAGTAGTCATTTCCTAAAGAGCTCTAGAGGTAATATAGCTACCTACCATAAGCAATTTATAAGCATCAATGTAGAAAACAAATTTTAAAAATAGACAATGAGAAAACATGGAAGTATGATGTAACCCCAGACCTCCAGCATGGCCAACGGAAATCTAGGGGGCATTGAGGTGGAAGAAATCAAAAGCCACACAGCTGAACTTTCTGAAATGGTAGCAGCAGAAGTAACAAAGTAGATGAATGAGTCTCCAGCAAAAAACAAATCAGAAATAATTATACAGATAACTAAAGAAATGATGACCACAACAAAAGTGAATCTAAAGTAGAAAGAGATAAAAAAAAATAGAGCAGCTTAGGAAAGTGATAGAAACCATGAATGGCCAATAGGAAAGAACTGGATTCCATAAAACAGATTGAAACAGATATCCAGGACATTAAAAATTATACTGAAAGTACACACAGCAGAATCATCCAATGTGAAGATAGAATATCAGATTTAGAAGACAGGTTTGCAGTTAGTGATCATCAAATGAAAGATTTCTTAAAAATAGCAAGGGACCACACAAAAATCAATTCAACAGATGCTACATGATGCAAAGTAAGAATAACATAAGATTAACTGGAATCAATAAAAAAATCAGAAGATAGTACAAAGGACATTAAAAAACCTGTTCACAGAAGTAATAGCAGAAAACTCCCCAAACATGGAAAAAGAATTTGACATACAGATAAGTGAGGCATATAGAACTTCAATTAGCCACGATCAGAAAAAAAAATTACACCAAGGCATATAATAGTCAAGATTCCAGAAATTCAACACAAGAATAGAATATTAAAAGCTGTTAGAGAAAAGAAACAAATTACCTATAAAGGAAAACCCATCAGAATCACAGCAGACTTCTCAACACAAACCCTTCAGTCAAGGAAACCTTGGAGTGAAGTATTTCAAGCCCTAAAAGAAAACAAACTCCAACCCCAATTAATGTACCCCACAAAATTATCTTTCAAAACTGACAGAGAAATAAGATACTTCCATGATAAAGAACACCTAAAGAGGCCAGGGATTTAGCTCAGCTGCACTGTGCCTGCCCTGCAAGTGCAAGGTCCCAAATTTGATCCCCAGTACTTCCCTCTCCCGAAAAAAAACACCTGAAGAAACTCATGACCACCAAACCAACACTCGAAACAGTTTTGAAGGATATTCTAGAAAACAACAATGAAGACAAGAATTCCATGAATCCCAATAGAATGAATCCACCAGGCAAGGCAAGTAATTAAACAGAGGAGAAATAAAGGGAACCAACAGCAGGAAAATAATATTGAAAGGATAAGTAAATACCTCAGTTATAGCCATCAATGTAAATGGTCTCAATTCACCAATCAAAAGAAACAGATTGGCAGAATGGATCAAGAAATAAGATCCAACATTATGCTGCATACAAGGAACACATTTAAGTCAAAAATATCACAGACTGAAAGTTAAAGGATAGAAAACAAGACTCCATGTGACAGGAACCTAAAAAAAAGCAGGTATAGCTATTCTCTTTGCAGACAAAGTCAGTTTCAAGCCAAGATTGATCAGAACAGACAAAGAAGGTCACTACATACTTGTTAAGGGACTAATCCAAGAGGAAAATATAACAATCACAAATATATATATACATCAAATACCAGCACACCCAACTATATAAAACAAACATTAATGGATATGAAAAATCAGATAAGCACTAATACAATAGTAGTGGGAGACCTCAACACCCCACTGTCACAAATAGATCAACTAGACAAAAATCAACAAAGAAATATCAGAGCTGAACCAAAAACCTTTGAACAAATAGACTAGTAGATATCTACAGAGTGTTCTACCCCACAACAACAGAATACATATTCTTCTCAGCTGCACATGGGACTTTCTTCAGAACAGACCACATACTAGCTCACAGAACATGCTTAAGTAAATGCAAAAAAAATGAAATTATCCCATGCATATTATCAGATTGTAGTACAATGTAATTGGAAGTCAATGGAAAAAGAAATCACAAAAAAATACATAAACACATGTAAATTAAATAACATCCTCCTGAAAAATAAGTGGGCCACAGATGAAATTAAAGAAAGGCTGGGGATTTAGTTCAGTGGTGCCACCACCTGCCTCGAAAGCATAACGTCCTGAGTTTGATCCCCAGTACCCCCCCACCCTCCCCAAAAAGAAGAAGAAATTAGACAGTTTCTACAATTAAATGATAATACCAATACAACATACCAGAACTTGTGGAACACAATGAAAGCAGTCCTATGAGGCAAATTTATAGTGGTGAATTTCCATATCAGAAAAACAGAGCAAGCTCAAATAAATAACCTAATGTTGAACCTCAAGCTTCTAGGCAGAAGAGGAACTTAGGGCAGGGGATTTAGCTCAGTGGTTCTGCCACCTGCCTCACAAGTGCAAAGTCCTGAGTTCGACCCCCAGTACCAAAAATTAAAAAAAGAGCAACTTAAACCCAAAGTGCATACAAGGGAAGAAATTATAAAGATCAGAGCAATTAATCTAATTGAGACCAAGAAAATAGAATCAATGAATTGAATGAATTAATCTTTTCTTTGAAAGATTAAATACAATAGACAAACTCTTAGCCAATCTTCCAAAAAAAGGAAAGAAAAGACTCAAATCCATGCAATTAGGAAGGAGAAGGGCAAAATGACAATGGATCCTGCAGAAATCCAGATCATCAACACCTACTTCGAGAAACTATACTCTAATAAGATGGAAAACTTGGAAGAAATGGACAGATTCCTAGATACATATGAATTACCAAAGCTGAATCACGAAGATATAAAAATTCTAAATAACCCAATATCAGTCAATGAAATTGAAGAAGTAATTAAAAACTACCAACAAAGAGGCCAGGGATTTAGCTCAGTGGTTCTGTCACCTGCCTCACAAGTGCAAGGTCCCAAGTTCAATCCCTGGTACCAAAAAAAAAAAACCTACCAACAAAGAAAAGCCCAGGTCCTGATGGATTCACCACTGAATTCTACAACAAATACAGAGATTTAATGTCACTACACCTTAAATTCTTTAATGAAATTGAAAAAGAAGGAGTACCCCCAAACTCATTCCTGGAAGCAAGCATCACCCTGATACCAAAACCAGAGAAGGATCCAACTGAAAAAAAGAACTGCAAGCCAATCTCCTTAATGAACACAGATGCAAAAATCCTTGATAAGATACTGGCAAACAGAATGCAGTAAATCATCAAGAAGATTATACACCATGATCAAATAGGATTAATCCCAGGAATGCAGGGATGGTTCAACACACAAAAACCAATAAATGTTAATATACCACATAAAAGAACCAAGGACAAAAAATACACAATCAACTCAATAGACACAGAAAAAGCATTTGACAAAGTCCAACACCCATTCAAGATAAAACCCTATAGAAAACTGAAATAGAATGTCTTAACCTCAATCTGATAAATGCTATCTTTTACAAACCAATAGCCAACATCATACTAAATGGATAAAAACTGAAAGCTTTCACTCTAAAATCAGGAAAAAGACAAGGATGCCCACTATCATCACTCCTATTCAATATAGTTCCAGAAACATTAGCCAGAGTAATTAAACAAGAGAAAGAAATAAAAGGAATAAGGATAGGAAAGGAAGAAGTTAAATTATCATTATTTGCAAATGATATGATAGTCTACATAGAAGACCGCAAAAACTCCACCAAAAGACTTCTAGATTTAATAAGCAATTCAATAACATAGCTGGATACAAAGTCAGTACTCAAAAATCAATAGCCTTCTTATACACAAATAACAAACTCACTGAGAGAGAAATTAGGGAAACAACACCTTTCACAATAGCATCTAGAAAAATGAAATACCTAGGAATCAATCTAACAAAGGAAGTAAAAGGCCTTGAAAACTACAATACTCTGAAAAAGGAGATTGAAGAGGATATCAGAAAATGGAAAGATACCCCTTGTTCTTGGATAGATAGAACGAATGCAGTGAAAACTGCCATACTTCCAAAACTGTTAAATAGATTTTATGCAGTCCCAATCAAAGTACCAATAGCATACCATATAGAACTAGAGAAAACAATCCTAAAATTTATTTGGTTCCAGAAGATATCTAGAGTAGCAAAACCAATTCTGGGCAACAAAAGCAAGGCAGGGAGCATTACAATCTCCTACTTGAAATTATACTACAAAACTACTGTGATAACAGCTTTGTACAGGCAAAAAAAAAAAAGAAAGAAAGAAAAAACCCAAAAAACAAACAACAAACAGACCTGATGATCAATGAAATGGAAGATGCAGAAACAACTCTAAACACACTCAGCTACCTTATTTTTGACAAAGGAGCCAAACACCTTCACTTGAAGAAAGATAGCCTTTTAGGCCTGGGATTTAGCTCGGTGGTACTGCGCCTGCCTGGTAAGCGCAAGGTCCTGAGTTCAATCCTCGGTGGAAAAAAAGAAAGAAAAAGTAAGATAGCCTTTATTTATTTATTTATTTATTTATTTATTTATATTTTAAAGACAAGGTCTTGCTATGTAGTTCAAGCTGGTCTTGAACACACTATGTAGCTCAGGCTGGCCTCAAACTCAGTGCAATCCTCCTGCCTCAGCCTCCCGAGTGCTCAGATTACAGGTGTGCACCGCCACGCCCAGCAACCTCTTTAACAAATGATGCTGGGAAAATTAACTTTTCACATGCTGAAGATTAAACCTGGACCCATATCTTTCGCCATGAATAAACTAAAAGTGAAATGAATCAAAGATCTAAATACATTTTTTTAAAGATCTAAATAGTAAAACAGAAACACTTATTCTGCTGGACTAGGTAAAACTCTAGAATACATAGGTGTAGGCAAAGACTTTATAAACAAAACTCCAATCACACAGGAAATATTACAAAGAATCAACAACTGGGATCACATCAGATTAAAAAGCTTTTGCACAGCAAAAGAAACCACCAACAGAGTGAAGAAACCACCCACAGAATGGGAAAAAAATTTTGCGAGCTATTCCTCAAAGGACCAATATCTAGAATATATAAAGAACTCAAAAGCTCAGACTCCCCAAATTTTAAAACCCTATTCAAAACTGGGCATCTGAAATGAATAGACGTGTCTCAGATGGAAAAGTGCAAATAGCAAATAAATATATGAAAAACTGTTCAACACCACTGGGCATCTGAGAAATGCAAATTAAAACCACACTGAGATTCCACTTCACTCCAGAAATAACAGCTATCATCAAGAAATCAAGCAACTCCGGGTGTGGTGGTACACGTCTGTAATCCCAACACTCGAGAGGCTGAGGCAGGAGGATCACCACAAGTTTGAGGCCAGCCTGGGCTATGGGGTGAGTTCACGGTCAGCCTGAACTACATATTGAGACCCTGTCTCAAAAAAAAAATTCAAACATATATGTGTGTGTGTGTGTGTGTGTGTGTGTGTGTGTGTGTATGTATGTATGAATGTATGTATATCAACCAATAACAAATGCTGGTGAAGCTGTGGGGAAAAAGGAACCCTTCTCCACTCCCATGGTGGGAGTGTAAATTGGTACAACCAATACTGAAATCAGAATGGAGATTCCTCAAAACACTAAAACTAGAGGTTCCATTCAACCCAGGTATTTCCCTTTTAGGTATCTTCCCAAAGAGTTAAAAGCATCATATCTCAGTGATATACCCACCCATGTTCATAGCAGCATAATTTGTAATAGCTAAATCTTGAAAACAGCCCAGATGCCCATTGATAGATGAATGGATAAAGAAAACGTGGTTTTTATATATAATGGAGTACTACTCTGCCACGAAGAAGGATAAACTTGAGACTTTTTAGGTAAATGGATGCAGCTTGAGAACATAATTTTAAGTGAAATAAATCAGACACACATGTTTAAATACCACATAGTTTCTCTTGTGTGAGAAACCCAAAGGGTAAATAAGGACCAAAATAGATGATAACGGGTAGTAGGAAGAAAATGTTCAAATGGGAAGGGGAACATGGGAGGGGGAGGAGAAAAGGGAGGGAACAGGGATAAAAAAAAGAATGGAGATTGAAACCCTGGGCCTTTGCACTGAGCTACATCCCAGCCCTTTCTTTGGTTTTTATTTTCTTCAAGTTTTTTTTTTTTTGGGGGGGGGGTTGGTACCAGGGATCAAACTCGGGACCTTGCGCTTTCGAGGCAGGGCCCGAAACCACTGAGCTAAATCCCGGGCCCTGGTTTTTATTTTCAGTCAGGGTCTCACTAACTCACTAAGTCGTCCATGATGGGCTCAAACTTGCAATCTTCCTGCCTCAGCCTCCCAGAGGGCTGGGATTATTGGCACTTGTCAACATGCCTAGCTTCATTTACAGATTTTGATTTTGAGATGTGACTAATGTTTATCTTAGATCTAAAGTGGTAAGTGCTGGTCTTTTAGGGACTGGAATATTAACGCACTTTGCTTTCTCTACCGAAATTAACACAATATTAGATCTAGGTGTAGTTGATCTAGAGAAACAAGAGTTCTAGGGAGGGAAAGGCTACTACTTTGAGCAGGGAAACTGTCACCACAGAAGCCCAGGTTTCTTGGGAGCAACTTACGTTGAGCTCCCCTGGTTGATTTTGTTAGTCTCAATTCACCCCCACCTCCCCACAAAGACAAGATTATATCCTTAAAAGCCAAGAAGCAATATTGAGAAAAGTGACAGAAAACTCCAACCCACCTGGGATTCTGTTGTCAGGATCCCAGGAATCACTTCATCCTCAAAACTTTCTCCCTGGGTCTCATCAGTATCCTGAGATAGCAAAGCTGGGGAAGGAAAAGAACCATGAGGCTTATATCTCCTCAAATCCCTCAAACACAAAAACTGCCTGTAGATGCAGTGAAAGGGGCTTCTCCCCCAAAACAGTGACAAAGGACATTAAGGATGACTCAAGAGCAGCCTGAAGTGTATTTCTTTGAGCATTAATATTTCCCACTAGTCAATGCTGGTCCAGATCTATCAGGCCACCCATTTGTTTAAAAATCTTCAAAGGTTCTCCACTGACAAGAATAATACAAACACTTCATCATGGACTTCAAGGCATTCTATGGTCTCCCTGAAGCACATTTTCCTCAGTAATGGTTACCTCCAAATGGCCATCCTCAGAGGTGAGAGTGACATCTGGCTGTGACATGTTACCCCACTGAGCACCAGGATTGATTTGGCTGGCTAGGCAGGTGCCCCCTTCCTCCCTCACCACTCCATGTGTGTCCCTCCTGAGGCCGCATGCTCAGTTGAAGAGGACAACTCTTCCCGATAGTCGAGGACTGTTTCCTCAGTCAAGGGTATGTAAGTAGCTGCACTCCCCTGCTAGAACCTCCTAACAAGCTCTCAAACCACTATCCTTTTTATATGTGGGACACCACCCATACTGCACTCCTAACCTTCGCTTGACTAAATATTCCCCATTCTCCTATTTTTCTGTCCTTTCTCTAAATCTTCTATTTAAAAAAACTTAAAAGAGCCTTTCCGGGTCTGATTCAGTTCTATCTGCCTTGTGAAAATCTCTCAGATAATATGTAATCAGAAGAAAGTTTCCTGTCCCCTGTATTCCCAAACTGCTTTTCTTAGGCTACCTTCTATTACTTTGATCTGACTGTATGTCTATCTCCATCAATTAATAAGCATTAGAGAGAATTATTCATTTTTCCACCTGTCAAGATACTTGACCAAATTCCTGCCTGATACTGCTAGAACACAACAAAATTACTGGCTGAATACAAAGCACTAAAGATGTGAACGAAGATACCACATGAAACATAAATTCCCTTGTCCATCTATCTACTCCTGACCAGACCACCAAATAAGGTGTGATTCTGGACATGAGCCCAGTATTCTTTCATAGCTCTCTCCTTTCCAAAAGCCACAAACATAACTCTTCTCTTATTGTTTAAATTTGAAAAGTTCCCCACAACTCATGTGCTAAAGGCTTGATTGCCAGCTGACAGGCTTTTTGGGAGGTGACTAGATCATGAGGACTCTAACCTCATCAAGAGGATTCATCCACTGCTGAGATCATAATTTGAAGGCATTATTGGTAGGTGAAGGAAACATGGGGTGAGGCTTAGCTGAAGGGAGCAGGTCATGGGGATATGACCTCGGGAACTATGTCTGATCCCCAGCCTCTTCCTCTCTGGCTTTTTCCCTCTTTCTGGTTCTTGGCTGCATGAGGTAAGCAGTTTTCATCTGCCATACCCTCCTGCCATGACGTTTCTGCCTTGTCACAAGCCTAAAAGCAATGGAGCCAGCTGACCATACACTGAAACCTTTGAAAATAGGAACCAAATTAATTATTTCTTGCTTTAAACTGTTTACATCAGGTTTTTTGAGAAAGAGTCTCACTTTGTAGTTCAGGCTGGCCCTGAATTCACTACATAGCTCAGGCTAGCCTCAAACTCGCAGTGATCCTCCTGCCTCTGCCTCCTCAGTGCTGAGATTACAGGAGTGTGCCACCATGTCTGGCCAATTATCAGGTATTTTGTCACAGTGACAAAAAGATAACACCCTCCAAAGATGTTTCCCCCAATTTCTTCCCCAAAGAGACCACCTCAGTGAAGGTACTCTTTCCACATTGAGATCTCTTTCTTCCCCCTCTACCAGTCTATTCTCACCTTCTCCTTCAAACATTTTAGTCACATCCTCCCACAGGGGCATCCCCTCCATGGCATTCCTTGGATGGTGCAACTTCACCCAGGTGCTGGCCTCGGAGGACAGGGTCATTAGGAGCTGCTGTGGCATGATGACTGCGGACTGAGCTGGTCCACTTCTGTTGAGAAAATTGCTGCAACCTCTGATAAGAGGCTTCACAGTTAGATGTGATCACAATTACCTAAGATCACAACTGCCTGCCCTTAAGAGTCTGGCATGGCCCTGCAGCACAAGGATCTGGGGGGTCCTAGAGGTTAGTGTGACTTAACAACTCTGAAAAACCCAGGCTGTTTCTTTGGGAGGTGGGCTGGTTTAAGTACATGCCTCTATACTCTTCTAGGGGAGCAAAAGGCAGGGAAAAGAGAGATCTAGACGTTCCTGTCATATGTCCAAAACTCCAGAACCTGCAAAAGATATAAAACAAAGATTTAGCATTGATGCAGAAATGAATACAAAGTATGATTTTTAAAATATGGTTAATATTTAAACTTTTAAAAAATTTATTATAAGAAGACTTTGCCACTAATGCCCCTCAAGATACTCCGCCATGTTTCAAACACTTATTCTATTGTTTTCAATACTTTCTGAAACAATCGTCTTTCATGTGTCTTTATTTGTGATATCGTGGCTGCCTTGAAGTCCAGAATCAATTCAAAACACTTACCTTTCATGGTCATTTTGACTTTGGAGAAGAGCCAGAAGTTGTACAGTGCCACATCAGTGAATAAAGTGGATGAGGACACACAGTGTTTTACATGTCTGCCTATCTATTGAATGGCACTTGGCAGCAGCATTCACTGTATTTTTTGTTTGTTTGTTGTTTTGTTTTGTTTTTGGTACCAGAGATCGAACTCGGGTCCTTGCCATTCACTATATTTTTTATCACACCTTGTGAAGGCCAACCAAAAAGACTTCCAGAACTGCTTCAGAAAATGACAAGAATGATGAGATAAGTGTGTCTGAAGTGAAAGGAAGTATTTTGAAGGGGAGTAATGGCAATGTATCTTTTACTGTAATCGTTTTTAAAAAGTAAATATTCACAGTATATTTTAATCATATGTCATATAAGGACACACAAAAAAATACATAAACACCCAAAGATGTGCAAACAAGTGCAGGCTCTGCTTTGTCTTCCCACTGCGTAAGCCGCATGTATCTTCTGCCTGGATACAGACTCGAGCGTAAAGAGCCCAGGATTTGAAATCAGACAGTTGGTTAGAGCCCTGACAGTTGTACATAAAAGCTCTGAGGCTCTCCAACTCTCTGAGCTTCAGTTTCCTCATCCATGAAATGGAGATAGTAACTGTACTTCACAGGGTTGTAATGTTGATTAATTGAGACAATGCTAAGCCTACAACAAACTCTTAGTTAACATTATTATAACCATTATCATATAGATAGATAGAATAAATAGATTTTTTTTTTTTTGGTATCAGGGATCCAAGTCAGGTGCTTGTGCTTTCGAGGCAGGTGGCGGAACCACTGAGCTAAATTCCTGGCCCTCTTTTATATATTTTTGATCGACTGGAGATCGAACTCAGAACCTTTACACTGAGCTACATCTCTACCTTTTTTTTTTTTTCTTTTTTTTTTGGTACCGGGGATTGAACTCGGGTCCTTGCACTTGCGCAGCAGGCGTCGAAACCACTGAGCTAAATCCCTGGCCCCTACATCTCTACCTCTTTTTAATTTTTTTTTAGAAAATTTGAGACAGGGTCTCACTAAATTGTATAGGCTGGGCTCAAACTTTCGACCCTCCAGCCTCAACCTCCCAGAGCACGGAAATTACAGGCGTGCACCGCTATGCCGGTTGAAACTTTTTATTTTAATGCAATATCATAGCATTATCTTTAAATTTTTTTTTTCAGTACCGGGGATCGAACTCAGGACCTTGCACTTGCCAGGCAGGAGCGGCGCCACTGAGCTACATCCCCGACCTTTTAAATTATTTTTTAAAATAATTAGAAATCTGAATTTAAGGTTCATTTCGAATATCTCAGCTGATAGAAAATCACGTAACTGCGTTTTGGCGTGAACAAGTCGGCTCGTTACCGGATGAGCTCCTGCTCAGCTCACGGTAAAATGCATCCTGATTTTAGAAATGTTAAAACTGGGGAAGGGGGTATGTGCTCAAAGGGAGGAAATACATCCAAGGACTATAACAGAATTGTTTGTAGCTGGCACACTTGAGAACTACCCTAACCCATCATCTCATCCAAGCCCTGGCACCTGAGTAGGTGCCGCCACCGTGACCAGGTCCAGTCACAGTGGCCCCAAACACAGGCTGACTTTTTGGAGAAGAGAAAGGTATGTGACTGCGTGCGACCTACAGACTGGAGCTCTGGGAAATATCCTGTCTCTGAATGTAGAAAAAGTCTCGTTACCAGAGAGCAGAAACTTCCCACTGAAGCGGTCTTCCTTCTGAAACAGCGATAGACTCTTTATTTCGCAGCTGCCCGGTCCTCGCGCCGGCGGAGGAGCCGCCTACTCACCGGGTGGGCCTGGGACGAGGGGCGGCCGGAGACCGCGCGACCCCCGAGGCTTCCTGCGGCAGAAGTCTCCTCAGAGGACCGGGTGGTCACACATGCAGGTCTCTGTTCGCCTTTTAAGGTCAGACCGCAGCGCCCAGCGCTCAGTAGACTTCCCTCGGAAGCCCAGAGGACCGCTGGTCTTTGGACAGGACGAGGGTCTTTTCCAAATTCCGATCCAGGGCCTGCCAGGCTGGATGGCTCCGAGCGCCGGAACGGGAGGGGCGCCCCGAACGGGCTCCTGCGGACCCGGGTGAGGACACCGCACCGGCTGGGGCCGGCAGCTGCGGTCAGTCCACACCGGCCCCTTAGGCCGCAGTCCAGCGTCTCCTGGAACCTCAGTCCCCTAGACGCACCCTCCAGACGACCGTCTGCCGCTCCCAACCCCGTTCCGCCCTAGCCCCGGCGGCCCCAGTCCGCCCGCCCCACGCGGTCAGCCAGAGGCTGCCCCAGGCTCCGTTTTCCCGAGCCGCACGCCCGCCGCCCCGCCCTCTTCGGGGAGCGCGCGCCCGAGAACCCGGAAGCCGGAAGCCGCCGAGCGCCGGCTCGCGCCCGCGGGCATCCGAGACCCAGGGGCGGTTCCCGGGCGGGCGGGCAGCGCTTTCTCACTGTCGGAAGGACTGAGCGGTCTGCCGGCTGTAACGTGGTCAGCCCGATCTCCGTCATTCATTCATTCATCCATCCAACAGCGCCCTTCTGAGTGTTTCTATTGCTGCATAACCTCCCGTGTCTCTGTGCTCCAAATTTCCTCTTCTTGTAAGGTCACCTGTCAGATTGGCATTAATGCATATCCTAATGCCTCATTTTAATTTAATTACCTCTTTAAAAGGCTGCTTTCTGAATACAGTCACATTATGAATTAATAGGGGTCAGTGTCACCATATCAATTTGGTGGGAACAAAACTAAGCCAGTAACATGTAAAAGATGGCCAGACAATAGAGAATTACCAGACCAAAATCAAATCTGAAAAGTCAGCATCCAGGAAGGTAATCCAAGTTGGAAGCTGTTTTGCATGAGAGAGAGAGAGAGAGAGAGAGAATAGTGGTGCACGCCTGTAATCCCAGCTACTGAGAAGGCTGAGGTAGGTGAACAGTCCAGGCCAGCCTGAGGAATTGAGACTCTTGTCTCCAAAGAATAAAAAAGGCTGGGCTATACCCCCAAATGGTAGTACACCCCTGGGTTTACTCCACAGTACCACAAAAAAAGAAAGGGAAGAAGGGGGGCCCACAACTACTGTGGAGTGAAATAGGAGACCCTCCTTACAATAACAGACCCCTACACAGGGTAAGGATGAATTAAAAATGGAGCAGCTTCAGAGAAATTTGTAGTCTAGAATAAAATTTCCTGTCTTAAGTCATGATCTTAGTTTAAAGTGGTCTCTGGCTCTGATGCCACCAGATGCCTGGCAAAAGCAAATTCAAATCTTCCTTTGAGGAAAGCATTATAACGTAGCCTCCCAATTGTTCCTACACATGTTTAGTATGCATGAGGCCCTGGGTTCAGTATCCAACACCCCCCCACACACACACACGCATGCAGGGGAGTGTGCGCGATAGTGATAAATGGGTACATAAAGAAACCAGGAGAGCCAACAGATACACAAACACCAGAAAAGATTTGAAAAAACGTCTGCTTTTGACATCAGATATAAACTATAATTTTTCTTTAAAGAAATGAAACATAACTTGAACCATTTTCCTAGGAGCTAAAAGTTGATGGAGCAGATACAATAACTAAATAGAAATTCTATGATAGAGAAATATAGTAGCAAAATTATGAACTTAGTGGGTGAATATAACAGTGGATTGAACATAGCTAAATAGAGAACAAATCAAATGGAAGGTAAATCCAAAGAGATTATCTAGAATGATGAAGTATTAATGAAAAAATAAAGGAATCTAGGCATGGTGGTGTACGCCTGTAATCCCAGCACTCAGGAGGCTAAGGAGCTTGCTGCAAATTCCAGGCAAGCCTGAACTACTTAGTGCAACCCTGTCTTAAAAAGAAAAAAAATTAAAATTTCAAAAAGGGCTGGGGATGTAACTCAGCGGGCAGGTCCTGCATTCAATTTCCAGTACCACAAAAAAGAAATAAAATAAAATCTATGAAAAGAGGCTAGAAATAGAGGAAACTGAAGAAGATCTACCAAGAGAGGAACAAAGTGCAGAGAGTATTTAAAGAGACAATGACTGAATATTTTGCAATACCTATGAAAGCAACCAGATCCAGATATAAGAAGACAGCCGGGGATTTAGCTTAGTGGTTCCACCGCCTGCCTTGCAGGCATAAGGAACGGAGTTCGATCCCTGGTACAAAAAAAAAAAAAAGAAATAAGAAGACAAGTAACTCTCTGATAGGATAGATAAAAAGAAACTCACACTTAAACACATCATAGTAAAACTGCAAAACACTAATGACAAAATCTTTAAATGTCTGTGGTTATTTTTTAAAATGCCTCCCTCCAATAGGTGGAGAATCTCCTTTCGTGTGAGGTGGACTTATTCCTGAAGAATAGAATGTTATAGAAATGAGGGTGTGCAAAGTTAGGTCATGAAAGACGTTGTCATTTCTGCCTTGCACACCACTAATTTGCTTTTTGTGGGAAAAGTCAGCTCAGTTACCACCACCAACTTAGCCGTGTGAGTGTGCCATCTTCAAAGCCTATAATGTGGCCCTAGTCGAGCCTTCATTGTATTCCACTTCAACTCCAGTGAACATCTTGACTGCAGCTTAAAGCAGAACCTCCCATTTAAGCAGCTTCTGAATTTTGTGAACCATGAAAATTGTAATATTATAAAACATTTTTCTTTATTTTTGGTTGGTGTTTTGAGACAGGGTCTTGCTATGTAGTCCAGGCTGGCCTTGAACTTACAACCTTCCTGCCTCAGCCTCCCAAGTGCTAGAAGTATAGGTATGCATGCACCACCACGCCCAGTTAAAAGTTTATTTTTTTAATTAAAAACATTTTTATTTTTTGAAATTAATTTATTTTTTGTCAAGGCAATTTTTATAGGTGGATAGTTTTTCTCAGACAAAAAACTTAGGTAGTGCACATATTTTTTAATGGTATCAGCAATGTTTGCAAATAACAGTTTCCAGTGCTCCAACTTGGGGTTAATTCACCTTGACCCAGAAAGTGGGGATGAAGCCCCTCAACATGGCTTTAAAGTAGGGAAACATACTGAGGTTATCAGAACTTGGGGAGTCTTCCTGCTTCCCTAAGATCAAAAGTCGCAATGAGTCAAAAAGGATTATTTCCTTTGCAAAACTTAAATGATAAACCCAGTAAGAACCACTTGGCAAAATTAGAGTAATTTGGTTTCTGCTTTCCTCTTTGAACAAGACATGAAATTGACTACCTTAAAAGTTACAGCTTCCCCCAGATGTGATACTCAAATGTAATTTCAGGAAAGAAAACAATAATTCAACAGTCATCATACCTCACAGTTGTGGCTATAGAAAATCATCCTCTTTCTTCCCTTTTCAGAAAAGCATCACACAATTCTTATGATTCAGCTGTCCGATAAATTGTCTAGAACACAGATAGATGCCATACATAATCCTTGAGTATTTCTTCTTATACCAGAAACACCAGTGTTAGCAATGGCAAACAGCCTCTTGTAGAAGAATTGGGTCAGTTTCATTATTAAATGTTACAGCTGCATGTATTCCTGCTCATGGATAAGCTATACAGGTCAGCTTGTCCTATAATTCATTTTATATCAAATGGCAAACAAATCTCTCAACAGCATTCCCTGAAACATATTGGTACAGAGGCCTGAATTCATGACCACAATGACCTGTGCCTTTAAAGCCTAACCATTTTAAAGGTTTCTCGAGATACTGTCATTGCTATTGAAATATTGGCTACTTCACGTTTACATAATAAATATTTGCACCATATAACATTACAGATTCATAAACCCATAATTAACTTGTGTTAATAGACAACTATGCTTTGACGTTTGCCTTTAGTGGTAAGAAAACATGAAATGGTCACTCTTCAAAGCATGGGGCATTTTCTTTAAATTTGTATAGTATGGAAAAACAAAATGTAGCAATTATACATGGAACCATAACCTGCAAAAAGTAACTCAAATGTCTCAAAAGGTATAAATAGGTTGTTCCTGGACCTTAAGCAACATAGTTATCTTGATCTCACAAAGCAATACAAATAGGAACTTCAAAGTGTTATATTAACAATTCTGAAAATGGCAGCTAGTGGACATATCCTTCAGGGAAAGAGAAAAGTGGCACACAAAGAATCTGAAGTTTGACAATATAAAATAAGGTAATTCCCCAAACCACATTCTTTGCAATAAATCTTTACAGTGAATGAGTTCAAAGTTTTGGGAAACATGTTTTTCAGACTTTAAATAGAACTGGGAAGCTGTCAAAATTAAGTAGTGGGTAGAGGGGCTAGGGATTTAGCTCAGTGGTTCCACCGCCTGCCTCACAAGCGCAAAGTCCCAAGTTCGATCTCCGGTACCAAAAAAAAAAAAAGAAGTGGCTGGAAGAAGTGGGTAGAAAATGCTGTCCTTTTGGTTCCAGACCCTGCCTGCTTTCATTTGGAATTCCTCCTAGATGCTTATTACAGTAAGGTTCTAGTTCCTCCACTGGCTGGTACAGTCTCTGTGACAAAAGCCACAACCCAGTCAACTCTGGGGTGAAAAGCATACAAAACTCATCCCTGGTACCATGAAGTCATGCAAGAGATGTGGTGAGAAAAGTGAAGAGTCCTAAGGAGAAGGCAAGATAGTTGAGGCCTCTGCTCCTCCCCAACATCCACAGCACGGTCAAGTCCCAACATTCCCATGAAGCTGGAAAATGAAAATGGTGCCTGCTGTCTAAACTCCATGCCACGGGCCGGGGATTTAGCTCAGTGGTTCCGGCACCTGCCTCACAAGTACAAGGTCCCGAGTTCGATCCCTGGTACCAAAAAATAAAAAAAATAAACTCCATGCCAGGCAAAACAAGAAAGGTTGGCATATGTCCCCAACCTGACGCAAAGTCAATTAAATAAAACAAAGACTGATTTACAACTGTTTCCAACTAAACTTTTTTGGCTCTCATTCCATTTGTCATCACCAGTGGCACAATTTCAAGTGAAGTTTGTGCAAAAAGAGTCTCTTCATTCAGTGATGCGCACAGAAGGGAATCCCGAGTGTCTACTTGCTACCTTCTCGGGAGGCTTCCAGATGAGAGTGCCCTGCCCTCCAGCAGCCAAAATGGCCTCTGTCCAATGTTCATCACACTCCTGGCCAGATCCCTGAAGTCAGTCAGTATCACGTGCATTCAGCATGCTAGGTTTATTCAAATATGCGAAGCTCTTCCTGCAGGTACCCTAGGATTGTGCCCCCATTAGTCTTGAGTGACGAGTTTCACGTGGAGCAGCAGAGAGCAATCTGCTGCACCTTGC